TCTCCTCCCCGAGACCCCTCTGCAAGGGGATCTCCAGTGGCCTACTAATGGGCTTTGGATCTCCACTCTGCACTCCCCCCATCATTCACTATCAACATCCAACTTTCACATGCCCATGAGGCAATTGAAAATACCATGGCATGGGTCAGTCCACAAAGTAACAGCCTTGCTTTACAATACTTTAAAGAGGACTTGTGCAGCAGATTCATCTAATGCAATGCATCATTTGATCTCTTGATTGCTCCTCATGAGCATTAATTGTAGATCTTAGCAAGACAACATCCTTGACAACTTCGATCTTATCTCTATTTATCATGATGTTCCCTACTGATCCAGTTGTGTGGATTTTGGTGTTCTTTACATTGAGTTGTAAACGTTATTGAAGATTTCAATCAGTGATCTTCACCAGTAAGTGCTTCAAGCACCTCTCATTTTCAGCAAGCAAGGTTTTGTCATCTCCATAGCGCAGGCTTTCAATAAGCCTCCCTCCCATCCTGATACCACATGCTCCATAGAAACCAGTTTCTCCAATTTTCTGCTCAACATACAGTTTGAATGAGTATGGTAAGAGGATACAACCCTGGCATACACATTTCTTGATTTTAAACATCCTGGACAGAGCAGAACAAAACTCAAAAAATACTAAAATGTGCAATGCTTATTAGAGACTAGTGGAACCCATGAGACGATGGCTCTTCACTCACTCACTCACTCACTCCCTCACTGCCATGGAGTGAAATCTGACTCATAGTGACCCTACAGAATGGGATAGATATGCCTCTGTGGGTTTCCAAAACCATAATTCTTTTTTTTAATAATCAAAAAATAATAATTTTATTGGGGACTCGTACAACTCTTATCACAATCCATACATATAATCCATTGTGTCAAGCACATTTGTACATTTGTTGCCATCATCATTCTCAAAATATTTGCTTTCTGCTTTATTTAGCCCTTGTTATCAGCTCATTTTTCCCCTCCCTCCCTGCTCCCCTCTCCCTCATGAACCCTTGATAATATATAA